AAAGTTCTTCAGACTACTGAACTCTATCACATATGTGAAAATTAGCTTATTATTCCATTGGATAAGCTATCATACTGGCTTCACACTATGTACGATATTAATTTGAATATATTTTATGGGCCAAATTAATTATGACACCTAGAGGCAAAAACCTTTGATAAAATCTCCTGTCTATAGCGTACACTGTAAAAAGTCCGTGTTTTGAAAAACGCTTAAAGCGTTCGGGAAACTGAAATCACACCAAACGAATAAAGGTTTATGAGAGTACCCTTCAAGCGTTCATCATGTAAAATTTATTAGCATACATGCCTATCCATAACACGAATGGAATTTCCTTTGTTCTTGTTTTTCTCTGTCACAGAGTTCTACCTTTTTCTTTTATTGAAAGATACCGCTACTATATTTTTCATTTTCTTTGAGCCTATTAGATGCTCACTTTTTTGATTAATATGACTGGCTAACAGTTTTCACCATTAGAAAGTGAGAAAGTGACAATGAGTCATTGTTAAACTAATTTCAGCTGCTGGTTGTCTGGTGAAAGTGTGTTCATTTATTAAATATTTAGTTGAAAATTTTTTCATAAATAGTCAAACTTAATATGTGTATCTAATATCAAGTCATATCAATTACGTGAAGGAAAGGCCACACTGATGATCTTTTGAAATTTAGAGATTTTTATGTATCAGAAAATGATATTTGTTTTCCATAAATCTTTTTATTATTTTAGATGTTTTGTAAAACAATGTTTGTGGATTTATTTATTCCATTCTGTATATTGTTATTATTTTCATTTGTTCAAACTGAACCTTTATCTTTAACTGACAAAACATGGAAAGACATGCTGTGTGGTCAATGGATGGTAGAATTGTAAGATTCAAATTAGATTTTTTCACATTTTACGATGTCTTCGGTTAATTATGCCATTTTGCTTTTTTCGCTTTAGTTATGCACCGTGGTGTCCAGCATGCGAGCATTTTTCAACAACATGGGATCAATTTTCTAAAGTAATGATTCCAAATGATGTTAAAGTTGCTAAAATTAACATCAATGAATATCCAGCTTTAAGCGGACGATTTCGTGTCGCATTATTACCAACAATATACTAGTACGTGTTGCGTGTATAATAAACGTTCTTTTATCCAAAACTAAATTTATGTCAATTTTTTCAGTGTGCGTGATGGTATATTTCGACAATACAATGGAGAACGTTCACTAAATGCTATGAGAGCTTATGTTGAAAATCAAGAATGGCACCGAACAGAACCTGTACGATCGTACTTAGCTCCCGATTCGTTTCTGTTAGTATTAACTAGTCATTCTATTTTGTCTCTCATTATGTTATGAACGTTTGATGAAATTCATACACTTAGAAGAGATCTGCGTACGGAAAAACTCGAACGATTCATCTATTAAGAACTTTCACGACTGTTACGAGGAATAGATGACCTAATATTTTGATTAAAACGGGCATGACAAGTTATCTTTCCTAATTATTAATTTCTTTTTTTCAGAATGTCTCTTGTCAGCTGTATATTTGATCTATCATCTCACGTCAGGGTAAGAACTGTGTTATATTGACACTATGTAAAATACTACCAAACTGATTTCTTTTTACCAAACTTAAGGATACTTTTTCTCTTCTTAGAATGCTTATTATACCTTGCAAAATGATTATTTTTGGCCATCATGGTTAATATACATTACATTTGCATTGCTCGTTATTTTTCTTGGTCTCTGCATCGGTTTTGTAAGCGTAGTTAAAGACTGTATATGTAAATGTTTTCTAAACTATTATTATTGTAGGGAGTACTTGTATTGATTGATTATTGTTCAAGCTCTGAACCAGCTGATTATTCCAGCATACCAGATGATTCAAAAGAAGAATTGGTATGGTCATAAATAAATGATATTATTAACATAATGAGTTTCTTTTTTCTTTTCTGTGTATGGACAGGATGACAGTGAGATACAACAACAAACAGTTAATGATCGCTTGTTAACAAAACGGAACCAGAACATATCTTCTTTGACTGATGATTCACGTGGTATAAAAACGCAACAGTATAACCGGGTACAATCAAATTCTGAAATTGAACCCGACATTGAAGATGAAGATCAAGATGAAGAAGAAGAAGAAGAGGAGGAGGAACAAGAAGAGGAAATGAGGGAAGATGATGAAGAAACAACTATGCGAAATATGCCAAGTTCCTTTCAAACAAAGTCTGATATAAGAAATCGTCGTACTGAAAGGAAAAACTGAATAAACAACAAAATGTTTTGTTCAGTTAAACAATCTCATCGTTATTTAACTTTGTTTAATATATGACATGGACAACTAAAGTATTTATACACATAAATGTATATTTGTCCACAGAGAACTTTCTCTTGTATGATTTTGGAAGAATAGCAAGAAATAGTGTGATATTTGTTTGTTTGTTTCTTTTTGTAACATTTTTTTGATAAATAATTTCTTGATCTTGTATAGAAATGTTTTCTTTTTATTGAATAATTCAATGAAATTCAATGTTTGAGTTTATCACCATTATTTTTTTTTCTATTTTTTTCCATTTTTTTCATATGTTTGTTAGCTTTGTGAAAAGAAGTGAAAATTACGTCCTATTTTGAATGTATACAATGATTTATGTACAGAAAAAATCAAAATATAGATTTATTCTAGACGAAAAAAAAAGCTGGAGTAAGACAATGCATATTGTTATAGGATGGTGTTGATTTATGACAATCACCGTTAAAAGTAACAAAGTATCTACAGAATATTCAAACTTCAACTCGAAATTTTATTAGATATTTGGTTTAAACTATATTTGTTTACCAAGTTTCTTTCAAATAAATTCTTATGTAAGCAAATTTATTACTGATGTCAATGTCTGCATTTTTATTTTTTATGTAGTTGTACTCTCGCTAACCGATAGTTACGACGAGAAAGAAAATAGTGTCTAATTGTCTCAGATTCTCCACATTGACAAGGTTCTTCATTAGTAACCAAATATATTATAAAAAAATCGTTATTCAAAATCAAAGAGTCTACTTTCATCTGATTAAAGGCAACATCAGCTAATCTATCACTTCCCTTAACTAATGTTATGCTTTCAATTAAGTTAAACTGTTGCAAAAGATCATTACTAAACATGCTTTATCGAAAAATTTGTCTTAACTTTAAGGAGAAAGTATTTCATAGTTTAACCGTATAAGGGAAGAATGAGAAGCAGAAAGATTCATTTTTGCCATTTATTCGTTGAATTAAATTTAAATCGTTTGATTGGGTGTTATAATTACTTTTTTACATTAAATTTAAGATATTTACATAGAAAATTCGACGCCTGACCCGAAACTATTTTATGATTAGTTTAAATTTGAAAAAATTGTAGATTATTCCTAACTTTTTCGTTATTACTCAGATGTAGTGCTTTCGAAACAATCGGACTACTTCTGTATTGTAACTGATCGGAAATACGAATATTATGTTATTTATATAAACAGCTGATTAACGGTATAACTGGAAACACAAATGAATTATACATTTGACTTAATGTAGATGCGCTGAATATTCTTTTCAATTTCTTTATTAAACTTAAGATTTTGTTAAGGTGCCGGTAATTCAAAATTAGAAGATTTTTCTTTTCGCTTCTTTTGGCGTGGTTGGATAGAGCGCATCGAGTTACACTGAAAAAACACAATCCCACATTTTAAAAGTCATTTTTTGATGAAAAGATTTAAAAATACCCATCTTTTGAAAATAAGCAAAAAATCGTGAAATTTTCAAAAATAAGAAAATTTTTCATACTTATTGTTTTTCTAAAATTCCAAACCTATTTCTTTCTGATTCTCCATCGAAAACTGAGTAGAAAAAACTAAATTCCAAAATTTTAAAGCTGAAACTGATCGCCAAATCCACGGAATAGGTGCAGAATCGTAAAAACCCTACTACTAAATTTGCAAACGTATCTAGTTTTTTTCCATTGAAAGACTAAACATTAATTGTTATTTGCTTCTTCTAATGAGTATACTTGTAGAAAAGAAGAAAAATTTTTGGAATTCAGTTGTTTCTACTCAGTTTTCGATGGAGAATCAGAAAGAAATAGGTTTGGAATTTTAGAAAAACAATAAGTATGAAAAATTTTCTTATTTTTGAAAATTTCACAGTTTTTTGCTTATTTTCAAAAGATGGGTATTTTTAAATCTTTTCATCAAAAAATGACTTTTTAAAATGCGGGATTGTATTTTTCCGATGCAACTCGATGCGCTCTATCCAACCATGCCAAAAGAAGCGAAAAGAAAAATCTTCTAATTTTGAATTACCGACACCTTACGTTTACTTATATAGTCCTGATGTGCTTTGTAATCTAACTTTTTTGTTAAAATAATTTCCAGATGTTTATGCTCCTCTACTTCCTTAATTACTACCTGGTTAATAATAAGATCAAGATATGATGGTATTCAGTTTAAAATGATTAAAAATTATACATTTACATTTTTGTTCATTTAGTAGTACACGGT